AGTTGAGGGAAGAAACCTTATGTAGCTTAGGTCATCCAAGATGCTGCTTCTCAAGCAGATGAAGTTTGTGGATACGGTGAATACTAGAAATCCTGCATGACCCTAAGTACATTATGCCTTGGGGATACTGGTGTTCTAGTATACGAAAGTTATGCATCTTCAGTATCAACGTCGTACCCCAATATTGGAGAATCCAATGCAAAATCAAATGGGACATGACACTGGAATCTACTAGATCTAGCGTTGTTTATTTGGCGATATAGTGCCCCCATAATGGAGAATCGAATGGGACATGGAATGTGTTGTTTGAACAGTTTAGGTTTGGTTCAGGTTCTATGGTGGATGAAGCAAATCTTGCACAACTCGCTTGAACTCCCTAAGATGCGGTTGTCATTGGGGTACAAAGTACAAATGTGTGGTGCAAGATTCCCTCTATCTGCAATAGCAGCCAGTTGCCAATCCGCACAGTCAAAGAAGCCACCGCAGCATTCGGATCCCTTGCACTAACATGTGGGCAGCTGTAATGCATAACGTAACTTGAATCTATTGTTCCTACTACAATGTATAGTATTCGCGTTTTTGAAGATCCTGATAAACATGCAGCAGCATGATGTGCGTGACACGCGACAACGTCTAGTCTAATTTGTTCCCGTTTGAAGCGACCAGGCTCGTAGTTGTCATTGTGCTGCAAGTAGCCGCTACTGCTGTTGCTCAGACAGCCCTAGCTGCTGCTGTTGTTGCTGTTGTTGTCATGTTTCCAACCCCTAAGCCGTAAACCCTGTGAATCCCTAGCCTAGGAGTCTGGTTACTTCTACTGCTACTTCGACCATCTCTGAGTGCTGTGTAGACTCAAAAGGGTAGTGTGTTATTTGGGAGATTATGTTGCCCAATATAGAGGAAGATTCTATCCTCCTTTTGGGGTATAGTATTTTGCATATTCAACCACCAAAAAACACTACTCAAGAGGCATGGTGAAGGGGGAGAGCGGGGAGAGCGGGAGCGGCGACGAAGATCAGGCGCTGTCCTGGCCTTTCATTTTCTACTGTCAATATTACGGGCTATGTAGGGATATATAGGATGATATAGAGTCATTTAGGGGCGTTATAGGGGTAATGGAGAAGAAAATGGAAACTACTATACAATTACATAATGTTGTTTAGGTTGAACTTTTGGTTACCACACAGGCGGACATAGGGGCCCCTTGGGTAGTTTAGTGTAGTCCCTACTAGGAGGCCCATGTGCATCCATCATGTGGGAAATGTTGGCTGTCGTTCACTCAGGGTTTAGGGTTTAGGATTTAGGGTTCAGGGTGGCGCTCAGGGCTTATGGGTTTGGATTGGGTGGGCGGCTTGGTTGGTCATGTTCGTAACAAGACTTCTCATGTGCTGCTCAATCAGCTAGGGGTTAGTAGGGAACAAGGGAATATACTCCTTATTAAGCCCCTATATACTACATTCCCTTATTCCCTACTAACCCCCAGTAAGTCAAAGAGATTTGTTTTCGAGACTCTAAACCCTACACCCTAAACCCTCAACCGTAAGCCCTAACCCCTAAACTCTAAGCCCTAAACCCCTAAAACCCTAAACCCTAAACGCTAAGCCCTAAATCCTACTCCGCAAGTTTTCTTCTTTGTCTTGGGCACTGAGATTAACCCTTAAGCCGTTAACCCAAAGCCCGAGACACGACACCCCTACATCCGAAACCCTAAACCTTAAACCCCTAAGCGTAAACCCTAAACCCCTAAACCCTGAAACCCTAAACCCCTAAACCCTGAGCCCTAAACCCTAAAACTCAAAGCCCCAGAGCCCCAGAGCCAAAAAGGTGCTGAGTACACAGAGTCCAATGCGGGTCACGGCGTACCAGGGGCCGTGCCTTCGCTCCCTGCCATTGTTTGCTTTCGGGCTTAGGGTTTAGGGCGGAGGGTTTTGAGTCCAGGGCTTAGGGTTTAGGGCTTGGGATTTAGGGTATGCAGCTGAGTTGAGGATTGTTGGTTCAGGGCTTTGGGTATCAGGGACGTGGGTAGGCTTAAAGTGTTTAACAGAGTTCACCAACAGGGGTGTGAGATCAGGAGTTTTTCCGAGCTAAAAGTTCCAGTTGGTTTCGGGCTAGTTATAGGTCTCATGACCTATCAGGATCTATGAGAAGGAGTGCACAGTGCTTAGGGGTGGATGGGAGGTTCATATTCGGTCCGATTCAGTACAGCATCTCGAACTTGATCTGTATTGCCAGTACTACGGTGAATACTAAAAATCCTGCATGACCCTAAGTACCTTATACCTTGGGAATTACATTGATATATTAGGTGGACCCCCACCCAGTAATAGTGACTATAATTGATAATAAGGAGTATATTAGGGTCCTCTTCTATTCCTATTATACCACTATTACAGGGTGGGGGGTCCTCCTAATTGATATAGTATACTAGGGTCATGCAGGATTTTTTGTATCAACACTAGGTCCCCAGGGCCGTCTCTACATGTCCCATACATGGCACACAGAGGGTTTCACAACCAGGTCATGGTTTAGGGTTTAGGGCTTAGGGAGGATTCTCAGTGTTGGGAGGGGGCTACTTGCTGAGAGCACGGTGATGAACCGACGTCTTCTTCGGCAAAAGTTCCTGGGATACCCTCCTCCAAGTTAGCATGGAGCCTAGCCTTTTTTGGAGGTTTCATGTCAGCTTTGGAGACACAAGATTTTGGGAGATAGAGCACAAATCCAGGCTGCATGCCACCCAAAAGGGGTGCAAGGTGAACTCGTATATGCGCTTCAAATTGCAGACTTTAAGCACGCATCGGGATGTAATGTAGAATGTAGTGTAAAAACACTAAACCGTGAACTCAAACCACGTGTACATTGCCCCAAAGGACTATTGAAATTCTTGTATTTGATATAGGTCTGAGTGGATTACAGTTCCATCCATTTAAATCTTGTGAGCAAAGAGCCTACTGGCACTGTTGATGGATGAAATCTTGCACCACCTTAAGTCCCTAAAGTCCCAGGAATTACAATAATTCAGGGCCCCTAGGTGGTGTAAGATTTCATCCATCAACAGCATGACAGGTTCTATCCCAGCTTTGGCTATGCATCTCCTGGAGGCCTGAGCTTCGGGGGATGTCTGAGGTAGTCCACCGGGAGTTTCTTCAAAGCATGAAGTCGTCAGCGTAGGCGATCGCCAGGTTAAGGTCAATCCTTTTACTGGGATATTCTCGGGTTTTCTTGCGAGTAATTTCTTGAATATTATGGATCACAATGCCTGTATAGTCTTATATAACCCATACGAATAGATTTTAGTAGGGCCCTGAACCCTAAATCCTTAACCCTAAACCCTATCCCAGTTTACTAGGATCGCCAATTTGTAGATTCTGCCAGCTTGGCGACTTTACAATTCGAAGTCATTAATCAGCACGCTGTAAATTCCTCTTCCCCATTTTTAGGGTTTAGGGTGTTTAATCCCAATGTAAATACTTGTTCAAAGGCCTTTAGTCTACTTGGGGCTCCCTTTTCCGAGGACGAAGCCCGAGACTTATCCATGTCTGGTCTGAGCTATCAAGGCCATGGGCCCAACAAGCGGTTTAGGGCTTAGGGTTTAGGGGATATGATTCTCCACTATTGAAGACAGTACGGTTGGCAATGTCAATATCCCTCAGCCCTAAACCCTAAATCCTAAATCGTAGTTTCCATTGTCGTTTCCATTCCTGTATGTCCCTATTAAACCCTTCTGTTTTCCTATACTACTCATATACATGAAGAAACAAGCAACTAGATAAACATATATATACATATATACAAATGTGTAAACCCGAGGCCCACTCCTCAAACCTTGAACTTTCAAGCCAACCAGAAGCAGTAATCATAGTTCCCAGCATAGGACCCGCTAAGGACATGGTCCTGTTCCCTTGAAACAGATACCCCAGCCCTGGTAATATCCGGCCCTAAACCCTACCCTATATCCGAAATGCCAAGCCCCAACCCCTAAACCCTACATCCAACACCCTCAGCCACATCTCTAAACCAGACACCCTTCACTCCCCCTTAATGGCAGGCCTGTCCTGGGCGCATACAATGCCCACAGCTTGGCATCAGAGGTTTTCTTCTGCATAGATAGTAGCTGTTGCGGCATTTACTGAAAACTGCGCATCCTCCGCATCCTCCGCATACAAAGAATGCCTTTGAGTCCCTTCATGTTTGAAGAACATGGTAGGTAGCATTGAAGATAGAATAGCATCACGGTTCAGAATTGTTGCATGTGTTATACCCATCATCTCGCTTGCAGCGGCGTGCCATTGGGGGATGCCACCAAATGAACCACCACATGCATGTCCGTTGACAAGACTATGCGGAGAAAAACACGTGTTCAGAACTCTAAGGCAAACTTGCCGACTCAACCCCCCAACAGCAAAGGTCTGTAACAACTGTGAATGCATGTAGCCCTAGATCCTAAGTCCAAATGTGAACGCGTAAGCCCTAAACCCAGGCCGTGCATGATGACTTAGGCCCCACTATGGCCAGCCAGCTGACGATGGAGTGGATGTGAAGGCCCGACCCTCTCTTCCTAATGTGCTACTCGAAGTTGATGGTGGCAGAAGGATCGCAATCGAAGTCTGAGTTCAACGAAACCCGAGCTAGACCCTTACTTCAGTTTTTCTCCCCCACAAGGGCTGTTTATCCGTACCTTTCGCATCAAGAACCTGCTGTAACTCCGGGTGCAACAGCGGCCCAAGTCTGTAGCATGAAGTGATTTCACTGCCCGCGCCCAGACTGGCAGAAGCCACTGGGAATGATGGCAGCGGCACAAAGTGGCCGTTTGTGCAAGTCTCTTCGATCAGAAGTTGGCTGTTCCATTGATCCTGAGAGTCTGGCCTCGGTGTATGAGATTCGCTTAGGCCTTCTTGCCTTGTGGATGCTGCTGGAGTCTCCTTGGCAATTTTTTCTTTTTGACAGCTAGTCTTTGGAAACCAGGGAGGAGACAGTTTTTTCTTGCAATTGTTTGGAGAGAACAGGCTACTCGGGACAGCGACATGGGTCTGCAGCCTGTATGCCCTTGTCTATTCCACACTGCATCAGTCGGAATACCACCGCTTCTGCCGCTGCAACAGACGCAGAGCAGGCTTGTGCCTTTTAGGGGGCCTGGTTTTCTACTTCGGTGCGCTACTGCTGATCCTGTCGCTCTTCGTCTTCAACGACCGCGAACCGCCAGAGCTGCGGCCAGCGGATCCTGGGTTGCTGTTAAGGAAC